CCGCCGCCAGCCCCCGCCCCCGCCATCGTCTCGGTGTTTCCTCGCCCTTTCTCACGGCCTCTGCTTCTCATCCTCTCTTCTCTTAACTCTCTTTTTAATTTTTCTGCCGCCGTCTCTCCCTGTCTCTCCGTCTCGCTGTCTCTCGTCTTTCTCTCTCATGCTCTCTCCATCTCCCTGTCTCTCATTTGCTCATTCATTACCTCTACGTCTCTTTTGCGCGTCATTTTCTCTCTCTGTGTAGCTGTCTCTGTCTCTCATTCTCTGTCTCTCATTTTTTCTCTCCTCTTTCTCTCTCTGCTTCTCAATGTCTTGCGCGCGCTCTCTCTTAGACTCACCCCAGCACCCCTGCCTCCTCCCCCGTTCTCCCCGAGCTCACCCATCCCTACATCCGCCACCGCCACTCATGCCGAGTGGGCTGGAGAATGCAGGGAAGATGCCGAATTTGGGGAGGGGAGGGGGTCGCAATCCTCCCTGCATCCAGCCACCGCTGAGCTGCTGACAAACTAGGAGATTTATCCGCCAGAGCCAGCAGTGGCCAAGGCGGCAGCTGGTTTCCATGGCAAAATAAAGTCGACAGAGAGATAGAGATCAGAGACAGAGATCCAGCCAGAGAAAAATCGAGGTGAGGGATCTTCGGAGAAAGATGGAGAGAGACAGACATGCACACACACTCAAACATACAAGAAAATTGTTTAGCGAGAGTCCCAAGGAGACCGTGTGACAGAGAAACCAGCTCCCTTTAAGTGCACGCGCTGGAGAGAGTCTGAGCAACGCAGAGACGGATAATCGGGAGGGACAAGCAGTAGCTCTTAAGGGACCAACGAAGAGGGACATGCAGACAGCGGTAAAGAGAGAAGTTAACACACGGGGAGACTGAGACCACGGTGGGGACAGGGAGAGACACAGAGGGGAGAGGATCGAAGAAAGAGCAAGCGCAGCAAGAGACAGGAGACAGAACCCGAGGGAGACACGGATACAAGAGAGTTGGAGAGACACGGAGACGGTCAGAGACCCACATAGAGCTAGAGATACTGAACAGGTGCACTGGGGACCCACAGGGATTATGAGGGAGATAGCCTGTGAGACAGAAATGGAGAGACGAGACAGCATTAGGAGATGGAGAAGCGCACGCACTAGCGAGCGACAGAGACAGTGACAGGCAGAGGTACAGAGACGAGAGCGCATCAGAAAGAGACAGAGGGAGAGACAGGGACAAGACCGGAAGAAGGACGAGATACCGACGCGCGCACACAGCTACAGAGAAAGTGCGCCGGCGGAAGAGACTCAGAGAGAAACTGAGAGATGGGAGTAACAGAAAGGGAGGAGAGAGAACGACAGACTGGCAGAGACGGACAGACAGCACGCACTTGCTTTGAGGAACTGAGAAATAGGGATAGACGACAGAGTGAGAGACAGGGGTGAGAGAGAAAACTGGTGAGACGCGCGCGCGCACGCGCACACACCCACCCCCACACCCCCCCCCAAAAGATGTAGGCAAAGTCCGCTAGTGAGAGACACTGGAGAGAGAGAGATAAATCGACACATGTAAATAGGCAGCAATGGGGCGCGCGCATGCGCTGGCCGGACAGACAGATCTCTGGAGAGACCCAAACTCGGAGACCCTGAGATAGTGTGGGAGACGCGCAGAGCGCGCGCGCGCCACCCGGAGACAGATGGGGGGGACTCGGAGACCCCGGGAGAGGGAGGGAGGAAGACCCAGAGAGTGAGAGGATTCAGAGAAACTGCCCAGATGCGGACTGGGGCCGCGTGAGGGCCCCGAGGCGGAGGCCCTGCAGCTGCTGCCCGGCGCAGAGGCGCCCCCTCCCCTGGCAGGGGGACTAACCCGGCCCGCGTGTTTCTTTCGTCCCCAGCCTAGACAGTGTGCGCGGACCGTGCGCCCCTTCGCCGCCCGCAGGTGCCCGCCGCGCCTGCACGCGTCTCCCGCCCGCCAGCCGCGGCCATGGCGCCCACCTGCACCAACAGCACTCGCGAAAACAACAGCAGCTACACGTGCATGCCCCTCTCCAAAATGCCCATCAGCCTGGCGCACGGCATCATCCGCTCGGGCGTCCTGCTCATCTTCCTCGCCGCCTCCTTCGTCGGCAACATAGTGCTGGCGCTTGTGCTGCAGCGCAAGCCACAGCTGCTGCAGGTGACCAACCGCTTCATCTTTAACCTCCTCGTCACTGACCTGCTGCAGATTTCGCTTGTGGCCCCCTGGGTGGTAGCCACCTCCATGCCTCTCTTCTGGCCCCTCAACAGCCACTTCTGTACCGCTCTGGTTAGCCTCACTCACCTGTTCGCCTTTGCCAGCGTCAACACCATCGTCGTGGTGTCGGTGGATCGCTACCTGTCCATCATCCACCCTCTCTCCTACCCGGCCAAGATGACCCAGCGCCGTGGTTACATGCTCCTCTATGGCACCTGGATTGTGGCCATCCTGCAGAGCACACCCCCACTCTATGGCTGGGGCCAGGCTGCCTTTGACGAGCGCAATGCCCTCTGCTCCATGATCTGGGGGGCCAGCCCCAGCTACACCATTCTCAGCGTCGTGTCCTTCATCATCATCCCACTGATTGTCATGATTGCCTGCTACTCCGTGGTGTTCGGTGCGGCCCGACGGCAGCACGCTCTGCTGTACAACGTCAAGAGCCACAGCTTGGAGGTGAGAGCCAAGGACCATGTGGAGAATGAGGACGAAGAGGGAGAGAAAAAGGATGAGTTCCAGGATGAGAGCGAGTTTCATGGCCAAGATGAAGGTGAGGTCAAGGCCAAGGAGGGCAGCGTGGAAGCCAGGCATGGCAGCCGGAAGGCCAAGGAAGGGAGCATGGAGAGCAGTGAGGAGAGCTTGGAGGCCAAGGGCAGCGAGGAGGTCAGAGGAAGCAGCTCAATGGCCAGCAAAGGCCGCACGGAGGGTAAAGAAGGCAGCACCAAGACTGAGAGCAGCAAGAAGGCAGACAAGGGCGGCAGAGAGGTCAGCCAGTGCAACATTGACTTGGGTGAAGATGACTTGGGCTTTGGTGAGGATGACATCAATTTCAGTGAGGATGACATCGAGGCGGTGAACATCCCTGAGAGTCTCCCAGCCAGTCGTCGAAACAGTAACAGCGACCCTCCTCTGCCCAGGTGCTACCAGTGCAAAGCTGCTAAAGTGATCTTCCTCATCATCTTCTCCTACGTGCTGTCCCTGGGGCCCTACTGCTTTCTAGCAGTTCTGGCCGTGTGGGTGGATGTCCAAACCAAGGTACCCCAGTGGGTGATCACCATAATTATCTGGCTTTTCTTCCTGCAGTGCTGCATCCACCCCTACATCTATGGCTACATGCACAAGGCTATCAAGAAGGAGATCCAGGATATGCTGAAGAAGTTCTTCTGCAAGGAAAAGCTCCCCAAAGAAGACAATCACCCTGACCTGCCTGGAACCGAAGCCGGCACCGAGGGTGGAACCGAAGGCAAGATCGTCCCTTCTCACGATTCTGCCACTTCGCCTTGAAGTTGGTTCTAAGGTAAACCTTCAACTGTCCACAGAAAACAGGAGCGGCTTTCTCTTAAATGGACCATCCACAGCCCCATTAATGCCAGCTCATACCATTCCAGGCAAAGGTTCCGCACACATCCCTCTCACCACAAGGTAGATAAATGTATGGAAGAGGTAGGAACTGGGGTCTTCCCTTAAAAGTGTGCCCCTCAAAGAATGGACTGGAGGATTCTGACTGGAATTCCCCCCCAAAAATTATTAGGCTCTAAATTTCTTAAAGCAACAAGGGCTATCCATTTTGGACCCGCACTTGGTATTCTGTGTGTCTCCCCAGAGTTGCCGTGTGTCGGCTTTCGCTCTGAGGGAGAAGGAAGATGATGCTGGAGAACTTAAGGACTTTTGAGCTCATGGGCAGAGGCTTCAGCCTGTGTTCATCTGAATGGAAAGCAACGGAGCAAATCGTTCATGGAGCCCAGCAAGCAGAATCCTACTGACTGATCAACGTATGAGCCAAATTCTAAACAGAAGAGACCCACAATCTGGTGCAAAGACTATTACAGAAACTAAGAGCATCGCATAGTTAAAATACCAAAAAGTTTCTAGATCCCCTAAAGGGATCAAGAAAAGTGGAAGAGGTAGTAGGGCTTATTTGAAGTGGGAAGCTAGTCCAAGGGAGAAAATAGAGAAATAACATACACACACGGGGCTAAACAGTGGACTTTTTTCTGTAAAATCCTGGATTTGTGCATGGGCTGAGACCAAAATTATTTCATGCAAATAGAAAATTGTCAGTTAACAGTATTTTCTGTCTCCCATTTGAATAATAGTGAGACAGAAATCATGCCATTCTTTTGCAATTTTCCCTTTGTGATTGACTTGAGATGCTCACAAAAATCATTCAAAATGCCCTCTGCCAGTCACTTGTGTGGTTTTTTCCCCAGATAGGCCTTTTTGGTCAGACAGTATTTCCAGAAAAAAAGAAATTCCATTAGGGGTGGCCAAAGTCCTACAAAACTCCCACTGCCAATCAAGAGTAATGTGCCCACTAGAAATCTCTTTTGTGTCCATGAGACCATAGACCAAGAATATGATCTCCACATGGGGAGCACCTAAGGCCGGAGAAACCTCTTCCTTCCTCCAGGCACACTCACATGTCCTATCCACCTGTGGCTCTGTCTGAAGCCTTTCAGCTCTCCCCACATGTAGAAGAGAAAGATAAGAGGGTCACAAATAACAGAAAAGATGGTTTCTCAATACCTGGCAAGCATCTGACCTATTCCAAATAACCCTAAGATCAAAGCGTTCAGGTCAGACATATCCTAATTATGGCTGTTAAAATATATCACTTGGAAAAACCTTTACGATATCTACATTGTCCCTCGGGGCAATGCAGGGGAAGAGTTTTCAAATCTCAAACCCTGGAAACCACTTTGGGTAGGGATAGTATACACTTGTGTATTTCTGAGGTCACCGACCATATCAACACGACCAAACAACACAAAACCAAAAAATGATCAAAACAGTGTTTTTGATTCTCCTGAAGATCAAATTAAAGCAACTCTATGGTCAGTCGAGTGTTCATGCAGAAATCTGATGTTAATATGGGTGGAGGACGAGGAGGGAGGATTTGGTTGCAAAAAATGGTTAATCAGGTGGTTGTACATAAAGATGGCCATGTTCAGAGTTTAGTCTCATTCTTGTGTGATTACCATGTCTATATTAGAACTCAAATTTCATTCATTTAAAAGTTAAGCTCATTTATATTTTATCTCTTCCTCCTGACAGATTGCAACATGAACTTCTCAAGGGGAAGAGGTGAATAGCAGTGTATTTGGGCTAAATCTGCATGGGAATTTGGCATCACCATGCACAGAATTTAGGAGCGGAGAGGCGACAGACCCAAATAACTCTGAGCTGACCTGTCAACTCAGTATATCCATGAAAATCGCATTGATTTCAACCCCATTAATTTGGGACTTGTGGTAATTCAGACAAGACATGGGGGCTGAAGTTTACCCTTGCAGAGCATTTATTTTTCTACCAACATGTATAAAGTGCATTAATAGTCATAAATTTATGATTCCAGTTTATTGCCAAACTTTTGCACTGACCTGTCCTCAAAGGATATCTGAACAAAGAAACGGCCTGTGTACCAGTCCTTCTATGGTGGGAGGGGTGTCGCCTCCACGATCTGTCACAGTTGGAGAAGTTCAATGTAGCTGTAGCCTGACCTTCAAGTAGCAGTGCTGACCTGGGTAGGCAACAGGATTTCAAACATTAAATGTCTTCAAATATTTTGTTGAAACTGAACTTCTTGTTTTATTTTTAAAGCTGAACCCCTTCAAAGTGTATCAGAGAAAATTGTTTGCCAAAATCCCAAATCAAAATGGAAGCAGAGCCTGTACGCGTGTGGTAAGTCCACCTCCCAGCACACACAATGTTCTCTAAGGCACCGGGACGCACCGATTTCCTTTTTCAAGTTCCCCTTTTCCCTGTTTTTAGCCATTGTCCACTCTTATAGCAACTTGGATTTTTCAAAGGTGAAAACCTTTCGAAAGCGGGAGACTGGAAAAGAGGACCTTGGAATTCGAAGCATTCTGCTTTGCCAACATTTTCTTCTTAACCATCAATGGGGCCTCCAGTTAGCTTGGAGACAGCGACAGCTTCAAATTTTATGCAATTTTGAATAAAACACTATCAACTTCATGAAGTTTTACTGCACATACCGTTTTGTCATTTGAAAACCTGAAAGCAGACAGAAAAGTCATCATTAGCCTCGCAGACCCTCACATGCAGTAGCATTCCCTGAATGTTTTTAAAGGATGTATTCTTTTGCCAAGGCCACTCCATGTGTGCAGTAAAAATCCCATTAAAGTACAGGGGCCAGACAAACCAGCCTTTGAAACAATGTGATTTCCAATTTAATGATTTCCTTATTTAAGAATCATAGAGCATCTAGTTTGCCAAGGAGTCGCAGGTGCTTTGACTAACACACCAGTTTCAACAAGCTTGGGAAGGCAGTAATAAGGAGCAAGCCCCGGGCTTCTACGACTTCTCGGATGCAAGGGTCCACCTTCTTGAAGGCACCACCAACACCAGCTGCTCGGAAGTCCTGTGTGCTTCCGGCTCCCGGCCTACCTCCTGCCATCATGCCCACTGCCTTCACCTGCCTCACTCCCCCTCCCGCCCGCTGCTGCACTGGCCCTTCAGGAATATCCCATGCTTGAAGCTCTGTGTGCTCACTCACTCCCCTTCATTCCCCCCCAAACCCAGAGCTGACAGATGCACAGGGACCCCGGGGCCCACAGAAGCAGGGAAGAGAGATGTGAACACTAGGCGTGACCAGCAATTAAAGATATTTTTCTGTCTCTTCCCCAATCCAATCAAATTTAGATACCTACTTCAAATTCAACCAGTAAGGAAAAGTGCCCTTTTATGATGGAGGAGGAGGTAGGCACCTCATTTCTTACCAAAAAAGCACCCACTACAACACATCTTTGGGAGCACATTTAATCCTGTAGATACTGTCCAATTATTTCAGGAAAAACCTAAAAAATTTTACCTATAAAATTGTAAGGTGCCTGATATTGCCTTATTTTATACATAATTAGCCAATTAAGCTAGGTAAAGTGACTTCAAAAGATTTTTTTCATACTATCTGAAGAAGAATTTACAAGATTAAACTACACTTTGAAGAATAATTTACAAGATTAAACTAGGTTTCCTTTCTTAGACTTTGCCAAAATGCTCTTAAAAGTGTCTGAAATACACCATTTGGAAGAGAAAAATTACACATCATCTGGTCATTTGAACTCTCCAGGATAAAACCCTCAGAGGTTATGAGGATAAAACAAAGAGAGTAACAATTTAAACTACTGGACTGTATTTTTTTTCTTCGTATCTGCCTTCCCCCATATTTTGAGGGAAAAAAATCAAAAGAAGTGTTTTCCTCTCATAATGTCTTTCTTGTTGTATTCCTCTTTAAGACAAACCACCATGCTGTCAGGAGAGGCTTCTCTAAGCAAAATGTCTTTTCCTTCTAGAGCAGACAAAAGATTAAAGGAACGGTTGGCTGTGAGCCAGTTACTGAGATAAGGAGAGAAAATCTGGTCAGTCATGTCTTTTAACCCTCTCGGTCCTTCTGTCTCTCTCATTTCCTATGGGCCGGACAGTGCTCTTGGCCCCCGTGAAGCCCCTCCAAGCTTAGACACAAGGACACAGAAGCAGTGAGCCACAAACAACAGGTCATAGCCTAAAAGTCAAAAAGAGAGACTTGTCATAAATTCTTTCCAGTTACTTACAAACGATCTCTTCCTCTACAGCAAATTGGCTGAAGGAAGAAATGGGAAAGCTAACATCCACAGAACTTGGCCACTGACTGCCAGGTCAGTGGCAAGTTCACTGCTCTTTGATACGTAGAATAAGAATCCTCAAGGTAAACAAAGGTCGAAGGTCGCCAGTAGCAGTCAAATGCTCCCATCATTGCCTCTCAAAGCGCTTGTATCTCAAAGTACACACACCAAGGGGAAAACACAGTAACTTGTACACTCACAGGTTTGCTATGTCCAAGGATTCGTTACTGGATCTGTCTTGTTCTAAAATACAGGGGAAAACAAGGTGGATTTTAGTTTGGTGCTTCAAAGTTGAGTGGATTTCCCCCCTCTTCATCTGTGCTACAACTTTAATGTTCAAAGTTTGCTATTTTTGTCTGTTTTCAGTGGTGTATTCCTTTCTGTGGTAATTCCCCTAACTGTACCTTATTATTATATATAAAATGTAAGTGTTCTTGGAGATAAGGTGCTAGATATTAGATTGTATGTGTTCGTAAATAGTGTCATCCTCAAAACTGAGTAGTACGTACGTGTAAAGTTAGTTAATAAAATGCATGCAGAATTCTATTCATGACCCACACCTTGGTCAGTTTCTGAAGTAGAACATAGTACATTTGTTTTTAACGTTTTCTTTTTAAAGTGTATCCTACAGGACGTATACAATGCTCCAAGGTGGGGCGGCGGGAAATGGTGCCTTTCATTCCTTAAGTCCCTGGTACAACAAAGGACAAGTGAAAACTTATTCTGGTACAGTTGGTCACTAATGTGAACTAACCATCTTGGCTGAAGTCCTCGCTGGCAGTTCTCCACAACATGCTTGGCACTGGTTTGCCTGTTTTCCATTAATTGTATAGGATGCAAAATCAAAAAGACAGTCCTTTCCCCTTTAAAGAGCAAAGACCCCAGGACAGTCTATTGGAGTCCTGTTAGCTGTACCCGACTGTGAACTGACAGGGTTTGCATTTAGCAGATCTATATTGTAACCATCCCTACCCTCCCAGAGCAGTACAAAAACCCAGAAAAAGGCTGCTCTGTTATTTTTCCTTTGGTTGGTTGCCTGAGAGATAAGAGAGCATAGATGGGTAAATAAAGAGTGAGTGGGACTCCTCCGGGGGTCGCACCTGAGATGTTCGAGAAATAAACAATCATATCGCAATGGCGTTTGCATCAGACAAGAAAAGAGAACTACGAGATGAGTTCATTATATTTTAAGAATAAAAATATTAAAGCTGAAAACTATATATATACACCCTCATTGAATAATTTCTGAAACTGCCTTTAATACCAAATTTTATGTGCTGTTTCGAGACTGAAAACAAGAGGAAAATGCATTCAGTCAGTGAACAGTTTTAATATTTTAAATTTTGAATTTGAATTTTTCCTTTTCCTTTTCAAGAAGTATTTGTAATTGAAAAGTGCCTTTTCAAAGGATCGCCAAACTACAGTCCTGGGGCCAAGTTCCCATTGGCACAACTTACCTTCAGGTGCATAAAAGGGGTGGGCTTAATCGTCCCCCACCCCCAGCAAGAAGAGAAACCCCTTCACACCCCAATCAAATTCATAAATCAATACTGTTACACAGGTCAGTAGTCTCAGAGACTCTGCCCAAGGACAAGTTTTCATATTTTGGTTGGCTTTAATTGGATCCTTTCGAAAATGGTTACAGTGCATTTTTTTGTTGGACAAGACCAACAGACTCCTGCTTGGGGAATGCAAAAAGATTGATGTTTGTGGTTTAACTAAATATTATTAATGTTTGTGTTTATTAAATAGGTGCTGTTAATCTGTCCTTGGTATATTCTTCTTAAATATGCTAAATAAAGTCTAATTTTAATGTGTGTATCTGGTTATTGTGCCGAGCTCCATGGGGAAACAGAAGGGAAGGAGACACAGAATTAGTTCACCATCTCTTCTCTTTTGCTTGAACGGAGGAGACGGGGATAACCTAATTGTATTACACAGTAGAATGAAATACATGGGCTCCAATCTTTCACAGTGTGCTATTCTGATATAAGGACGATGCAGTGGGATGGGGGGTCATCCTGAGGGGCTTGCTGGAAGAGGAGTATTTGCCTTGTCCTCTATGATTAAAAAGGATTCCACAGTGGGGGGGGGCAGCAGAGTAGGCAAATGGGGCCAGATGGTTTGCGGGGCTCCCAAATGCCAGTCTTCATCCTCAAGGCAATGAGGTTTGGTGGGATGTGAATAGGCTTTGCTTCAGGAAACAGTACTGCCCAGCACCTGGGTCACCCCCATGGGGCCCTCACCCCTGCTGCCCTGCTGCTCAGGACCGGGACACCTCCGCCAGCACAATCCGGCCACACACACACACAGAGTTCAGCCCCGACTCACCAGGGATTACAGAACAGGAGGCAGGAGCATGTTCCCTCAGGCCCCAGGTTCAGAAAATGGTTCTCCCGCTAACGCCAACCACAACGTATAAAAACACAAGGCACAGATGAGAGAGGCACATACGTCTACAACTTACCCCACTAGTGCCTCTCAAGTCGATGTGCTTGACCTGTAGCTCTTCTGGGAATGTCATCAGTGGTGGGACAGGGGACCGCTGGCCTCGTGCTCCCCAAGTGGCATGCTGGGCCCACTTGGAGGCTCAGGGAGCTGTTCATCCCCATTTCAACCAAAGGAAAATGCTCTTTCCCATTTTTCACTCCCAAGTCAAGCTGAACACTGATTTACCCACTGTATTTCAAGATGTTCCAAGCTGGCTACCACAAGACCCACATACAGCCGCCTTCAGACTGTGATCTGTGAAGGCCCCACGGGCGGTGACCTTTTCCTGCTGCAGAAACAAATTTGCCTTCTAGCCAGCTACCACCGATGCAAGTGAGTGGGCTCGCGAGCGCAGATAAAACTATCAGGTAGCAAACCTGGTGGGAAAAGAGCCCCCTGAAGCTCATTACAACACTGCTCAGCGCAGAGCATTCAGAGGAGAATGAAATCAGTTCCAAAGCATCTCCTAATAGCAGGTCCTCGGGTCAACAGGGCTGAGGACTCAGCCATAGATTATGAGACTGAAGGGCAGTGAGTTGAGAGGCTCGGAGTAGTCCACTGTCGAAAGACATCTTATGTGTGGACTCTTAAGAAAAATGACCCAAATGAACTTATTTACAAAACAGAAACAAACCCATAGATGTAGAAAACAAACTTATGGTTACCAAGCAGGGGGAGGGATAAACAGGAATTTGGGATTAGCACATACACACTACTATACATAAAATAGGTAGACAACAAGGTCCTATTGTACAGCACCCAGAACTATATTCAGTGTCTCGTAATAACCTATAATGGAAAAGAATATGAAAAGGAATATATATATACATATATATATGAATCAGTATGCTGTACACCAGAAATTAACACAGCAATATACATCAACTTGTAAATTCAAAAAAGAGAGAGAGACACCTTTGACCTTCTGTAGCCACTCCCTCCCCACCAGTCTGCTCCAGGCCCAAGGTCTGTTTGCCTCCTGTCATACGCCTGCTCCTTCCAATATCGACCAAGGTACACCACTGGCTAGGGAATTAGTGTCTTCTTCCATGAGGCAACTGGTCAACTCTTCCTCCAGCTCCCACACTCTTTCAGAATGCAACTCTCTGACCATGTCCCTCCTCATTCCAAACTCCCCTTCAAGGGCAACACCACCTCTTGGATCCCTGCACACACAAACAAGTATCCCTCAGCTTCAGGACGGCTCTGAGAATGTTCATGAATTGAGTATGTGTAGATAGTTTTCAAACGTTTTTCTCAATAAGACCACTATTTGTCAATAAAATTTACCGCAGAAAAATGTATGATGTTCACGACATGCCCCCAAAATTGTAAGCTCAAAGATTATTTTCAATACAAATTCCCAGCATGTGGGGAGTTGTGACACCTGACTATTGTTTCGTGGAAGCAAATAAATTCACGAACATTGGCTCCAAAGATTTGTTCTCTACACACAACTAAGTCAGACTTGCATATTCTCAGCCTCCAAAGGCAGCGAACAAACAAAAAAAAAGACAACTAACAACCAGAAATGCACAGGAATAAGACAGCAGTAGCTGGTATTTCACAAACGCTATATGCTAAACCAATGTATATTTTTAAGTGAACACCCAGGTACAAAGGTATAATCTAGTTTGTACAATCAACTTAAGTTAGTAAAATTCACATTTTACCTAAGATTTATTTGACAGTCGTTCTGATGCTCTAAACAAATGAGGAAGAAACAGAAAAGAAAAAAATTTCATCTGATAAACCAATGTACTCAACTTTAAATTTAAGGTAAATACACCTCTAATTGCTCTAATTGCTTTTTGTTGTTATTGTTGTTAATGCAGTTACCGGGGATTGAACCCAGAATTTCATGCATGCTAAGCACACACTCTACCACTGAGCTATACTCCCTCCCCTTCTGATTGCTTTTTTATGGTATTGTTTCAGGAAAATATGACTTAGAATAAACCTATTTCCCAATCTGTTTTTTCCAAACCATCAGTGCTTTATGTCATACAAACTGAGGCCAGACAATGAGATTTTAAATTGATATATATTTAAAACATGCCATTGGAAGCACACAGACATATCTCGACAGATGTTCATATAGATCTAGATTTATATTCAAAAGCAACAGTGATGTGCCTGGAAGCCTTTGGAGATATTCTTTAATCCACTTTCACCACACTATAGATTTTAGTAATAAAAAAGAAGCAGGAAAAAAATCCAACTGTCCCTGCAACAAAAGGAAAAAGATCTTTGTTAACCAGACATTATAGAAAATCAAAGTAGCTTTCTCAAAAACACAAAGCATGTCAGTTTTGAGGTGGACTACTGATTCTCTAAATCTCAAGACTTTATCTTGAGTGAAATATCAAGTGAAAGTCGCCAGGCTCTCTCCTGGAGCAAAGAAGATGAGCAGAGGGCTGGAGGCGGTCACCTGCAAAAGGGTGTGAGATCCACCTGGCTGAACGCTGCAGGTCTCCAGTCAAAGCAAAATAATAAAAATGAGTAGCTTAAGTTCTCTATTTCAAAAAGGATACAGAAAGGTCCAAGGCTACTTTCTAACAGAATAAACTTTGTATAATTTGCTTCAATTTAGAAAATGTAAATAACCCTCATCATTTTACATAGCAAAAGTGGGAATAAGCTATTTACTTACATACTCAGAGCATATATTAGTTTTCTAAATCAAAGTTGTATATTATTAAACTTGAGAAACATCCCATCTTTGGGGAATTATCCTAAAGAAATGATCCCATAGAAGAAAAAAATTACCTGCAAAAAGGTGTTCATAATACTGATTTATAATATTGAAAAATTACAAACAAGCCAAATGCCCCCAAATAAGGTGGCTCGCTAAACGATTGATGGACTAAGTGCTCAGTGAAATAAGATAGGAATCAAAAGTGACAACTATAAAGACCAAAATAAAGCAGCATTTAGCGATCTTTATAAACTGGTGTTAGGTGAAAAAAGCCAGCCAGCACTTAAACAACTCTCAGGCACCACACCAATGTGAACATTGCATAGGCTTAAACCCGTGGACAGGAGCAGAGCATGAACAGAAGATACCGTTAAGTTTCAGGGTGACATAATTACAGACAAAATTGTTTAACATAGAATTGCACTGATGTTCATACTATAAAAACAATTTTCAGATGATATTAAGGTTCAATGACCTAATTGAAGAAAACTCTAATAAAACTTCCAAATCCTATAGTCTAAATGGGGCACCCCAAGACAATTCAATCATCTAGGAAAACATCTTACTTAATAACAAGGTCACAGAAAGCTTTAGGCAAGGTTTGTTACCTTTTTCTCTGCCAATTTCTAAACTTAGAATAACTTGCCATCCTATACATCAGCACGTTACTTTCCTCCCAGCCTTCAACACTCCTTGTCAAGAGGCAGTACAGCATAGTGATTAAGACCATGGGCTCTGGAGGGCTCTGCTTACTTGTTGATCTCGGCCAAGTGACAGTCTTGCCAAGCCTCAGTGTTCTCAGCTGAAAAATGGGGATGATAATACCTATTTCTACATTAGGCTTCCGTTTTTCAATCCAACAACTTCAAAGGTTCAGGAGACGACAGGTCTGTAGCTAACACATGTCTCTGAATCTAAAACATTCCTGATTTCAATGTGCTGCATATTATTCCCATAAATTAGTAAAATGTTTATAAATTTTCCTTACTGATGCTCTGCTTAAAATACCAAGTTTTCTCCTGCTCGAAACACAAAAATCCATCCACCCTCCCATTGTTCTGATAGTTAGCTGAGCTAAAGAATCTGCACTTTGGTGTCAGGCAGACACAGCTATATGATGTAGAGCAAGCTACCTCTCTCTATTCCTCAAAAGTGAAAAGGAATTACACCCCCTTCCCAACTAACAGGCTTGACCTGAGAAAGAAAGAAGGTACATTAGGGTGCCTGTCAGAGGAGGCACTCAGGAAGCGATAGCTATCATTGAAGTTCTGATCTGGGGCTTCAAAAATAGGTTCACATGGGATTTCTTTGACTAGTGTAGTGGTCTCCTCAAAAGTGCCTGTACGCCGGAATCACCTGGGGAGATTTAACAACTGCTATTGCCTGGTCACAACCGCAGCGATCCTGATTTAATTGATCTGGGATGCAGCCTGAGCATCAGGACTTTTTAAATCTCCGCAGGCCCTGCTAACATGCAAGGAGGGTTTAGAATCTCTGGGCTATCCTGTCTTCCCTCCTTCCCTCCTTTCCTCCTTTCTTCCTTTTTTATATGTAAACAAACATAATTAAGTAGGATGAGAGGGATGGGGGTTGGGGAGCATGCTCTTCTAAAGGCCATTGAACCACACAAGTTACAAGCAACTTAGCAGGAGAGGGTATAGCTCAGTGGTAGAGCATGTGCTCAATCCCCAGTACCTTCGTTAAATAAATAAATAAACCTAATTACCTTCCTGGACAAAAAAATAAAATAAAAAATTTAAATAAATAAGTAAACTTAATTACCTGCCCCGCCCCTGAAAAAAAAAAGCAACTTAAAGGATCTGGAGAAATTATTTTTTTTTCTACAGCTCAATTGCTGGTACTACAACTCGAGGGTAGAAAAAGGGAGATGGGACAAAAAGGGAGAAAATTATTACTTTGATATCTTTGCCTATACCTCGGGACAGAGAAAGGACAAAACTAACACTAGAAATGTCCTAGTTTCTTTCTAAACTTCATAATCTTTTTTCATTAGGCTAGGTGATACATAACAAAAAGACAATCCAACCACAGGATCTTGAGTGAGGCAGTTCAAGACGCGAAGAGAAGCCTGTCTTTCTCCCGTCCTTTCCCTAATTACAATTCTATAACGAAAAGAATCCACAGGCTGATCCTAGGACTGGCATCCAATGCTATACGTTTCTTCTAGGGGTTTCCCAAAATAGGTTGTGCACACTTGAAAAAGAAGAAGAAACTAGCTAAATAAAACATTTTGAAAGTCAATCACATTCTCTTCAATATAAACAAAACTTTAAATAGTTTCCACAGCCACCATGGGGCCGAAATGTTAATATACATTCATTCAAGAATTTGCAGCCATAAGTAAGAAATGCAGAAAAGATTTGCCTAAAATTGAAGTTAAACCCATTGCACGGAGGAATGAAGAGAAAGCCTGTTTGGAGGAAAGGGTCTTGGGGGACCTTGACTCCCTTCAGCCTCATCTGATTCAGTCTTCAATAAGCACTTTCTCCAGGCCTGGCATTTGCCAGGTAATAGAAAGGATAGAAAAGGGGTTCTTGTGGGGAACAATCTCAGTTGGTAGCTATACAGCATATCACTACCTATACAGATGCCACGAAGACTTGGAAAGGACCCTTCACCCCTAACTCTTTCACATTCACATCTTGTCAGTCACCAAGACCAGCAAATTCCAACTACTTAATAACTTCTGAATCCATCCCCTCCATCCGTCCGTCCATCTCCATAGCCACTGGGTCTCAAGTCACACTCTCTTCATCTCTCATCTACAAAACTGTCTCCTGGCTTGTCTCTCTACCTCCAGTCTCCCTTTAGTCTCCCTCTCAAATCCATTCTCCACTCTGTCAGAGTGACTGTGATATTTCTAAAACACAAATTTGATCGCCATGCCCCTACTTACAAACCTTTAATAGCTCCCCAGAGCAAAAGTACTTAAACTCTGGAGCATATCAGAAACCTTTTAAGCTGTTAAAAATACAGATCAGCAAGGATTCGGACTCGGGGGCTTTGGGGTATACAGGCCTCGGACCTCAAATTTATTGCTTTTTATTGGTCTTAAATAATTTCCACAAGTAAACGTGAGGCACACCCAAGTTTGAAAATGACAACTTAATATGAGAAAAATTCTAGCTCCTCAGTGAAGCACACAAGGCCCCTGGCCGACTTCTTTAGGCCTTGTTCCTACCACGCGATGGCTTAAAATGCAAACCCCAGCAACCTCAAATTACCTACAGGTTCCCACATGCCATGACTTGCTCAGCTTGTCAAATCTGCCAAGACTCAGCCCTACACTTTCTCTAGGAAAGTCTCTTTGACCTCTTGGCCCCCGCCCCCTCCATGCTTTCGCAAAACCTTCTGTGCTTTCACAAAACCCCGGGTTCAGCACGATTAGGATCTTTATCGTGATACATGGAAATGCTTAGAGGTCTCCTCTCTCCAGACTATAGCCTTGAGTCTGGGGCTGAAGTCTTACTCCATTTTGGAACCCCAGTGCTCAGCACAGTGCTGGGGACACTACAGGTGGACAACAAATGTTTGTTAACCTGAACTGTTTAAATTAACTGCTTAGCAATGTAAGCTCCACGGGGACAGAGATTTTTATCCCTTTGTGTAAAGTTCTGTTCACTGCCAAAGCCGCAGCCTCTAGGGCAGTGCATGATATCCCAGAGGTGTTCAATATACACTTCTTGAATGAATGGCAGGAATTTGGAGAGGGCATCATACAGAAGATGCTATTAAGCTGGATTCAGAGGCATTTGAGGAGGGGAGACAGCTATTCCAGACAGAGGGGAAAGTACCCATAAAGGCCTGAAACAATTAAAATCCTGGCGGTTTTAAGGAATGGTGAAAACCATGGCAGAGGGGCTGGAACATTAAGGGTCAGTGATCAGAAAATTAAGGGAACATTAAAGAGAGCATATAGGGGAAAAGACTGGAAAAGTGGGTGGGGGTCAGATAATGGGTGCTAAGTTAAGAACTTTGGATTTGATCACATAGGCAACTGGGAGCCAGTGAAGATACATAAGTGAGAGAGTGAGATGAACAAATTTGTTCATGACCAAGATGACAACGATGATGATAATGGTAATAATGATAATAGCTGAATACTATTCATATAATATATATTAATATACTATGAATATATGAATAACATATATTATATATTATATATACTCATATAACAGCTGAGTAATGATAATAGCTAAATACTTATACACCTGGCTCTGGGTTAAGTGTTTCACGTGTGCGATCACTCTGAGGTAGGTGCTATTATCTTCTGTAAGGAAACAGAGACTCAGACAGGTAAAGCGACTTGCCTTATGACACACAGCCAATAAACAGTACAATCGGGACTCAAAGCTAATTCTGTCCTGACTGTTCTAGGGCGGAGATATCAATACAGGCTGAGATGACCAGGAACTACTTTGTACAGAAATACCTCAAAGAAAAAGCAGAAGTCAGACAGAAGCAGCTTCAGGGTAGGGGTACGAAATCAACCCAGGTATGAGATG